TCTCCCCTCTGTCTCTTCGCGCGCTCTGTTCCTTTCTCTCCTCTCTATCTCTTCGCGCGCTCTGTTCCCTTCTCTCCCCTCTGTCTCTTCGCGCGCTCTGTTCCTTTCTCTCCCCTCTGTCTCTTCGCGCACTCTGTTCCTTTCTCTCCTCTCTGTCTCTTCGTGCTCTCGGTTCCTTCCTTTCTCTTCTCTCCTCTCGGTTCTGCCTCCCTCTCTCTCTCGGTTCAGCATAAGAAGGCCGAGCCTCGGCCAAAATTCGCAGATTTGTCACTTTTAGCCCATTTTTGATATTTTTAACATTTTAAGCCCGTTTTTCGTGATTTTAAAGCGGGATTTTCTCCAGAAATTTTATTTTAACATAATAAACCCTAAATATTCATAATTTAAACATATTTTTATGAAAATCATTATCTAAATAATAAAGATCTAATGGGGGATTTATTTAAGGTGGAGTGTTGACTTTGCCTTAACTTATGACACAAGCAACCACCCCACACCCACCCTATGACCAGCCATACCACCCCACCTTACCTATGTCACTTCAATGTTCCCTTACACTCAAATTTCACTCACTCCCACGTTTTTAAGCTGGAACAAACAACCACACTCCTCATTTTCTCTCATTTCTCTCATTCCACTAAGTAACAAACACCACTTTTCTCTCAAACTCTTCTACACAAATTTTCGAGATCCAAGGCTGATTTCAAGTGTTCTTCCACACTTAGTAAGTAAAAATTTATCCTCCCTATTATTATTTCACTTCATTCTACTCAAGTCTTTGATTGCTTACACAAACTCCCTAACTATAATGTTAGATTCTCGAAAACCTTCAAGGCATCTCCAAGTGTTCTTGAATTAAACACTTCCATTCTTCAACAATCATCTACTGAAATCACTTAAGGTGAGTTCATACCCCTACATTTTCATGTTTTCTCAAGTTTTTAAGGGGGGAATACAAGTTAAAACACTAAGAACATAACTAAATTTCTCTAACAGCCTTCATCAGAAAAGTTCAACTCCATTCACGGACTGTTTTGGGCATCTTAAACATTTTTGTTTTCAAAACTGTACAAGGTGCAAATAGTTCGAGTTCTTAGCTTTAAAATGGCTACTTGCACATCTCCATACGATTTTTCTACAATTTATGGTGATTTTTACAAAACTGCCTATCATTTCAAACAACAATCCGGACCAGTCTGTGATTTTGGACTTATTCACTCAAGTTGGAAGTCATTAACAATCGTGATAAAAATTATGAATAAACTAGACACATTTTGCGAACTCTCAGAATTTACGGATCTAGTTTTCGACTTCGTATGATTTTTCTATGATTTTTCCAAAAACAGGGCAGAATGGCTAAAGTTAGCCAACAGCATGTAAATATCATAACACTTTGTATTATGTTGAGCAAAGTGTATAATCATAAGTTCTAATATTTGAATGTGTTTCCTTGTTAGTTTACCATTATGAACTGAAACTAAGTCATTCATATTAAATATTATTCATTCATTTAGAACACGTATTATTTAACTATAAAAAGTATAGTTTGATAAATTCACAACACTAATACATTTCCATAAAAGAATTCATACATATTACATACATTTTAGATAAACTATAATAGGTATAGTTTATGATACATCACTCAACGCACTCGTACAAAAAGGGTACATTCATACAAGAAAGATTTATATTCACACACACATTTCACGTAAACTTGTTAACCTATGTTGTGAGACTCTCTCTCTCCCCGTATGTCCGAGTGCGGGATATAATTCCTGGTAGTTATAATCAAAATCTCCTTGAGGGAGAACGTGATACTTGTATATAGATCTATATTGGGTTTGACACCCCACACCTTGCTGCTAGCTACAGTGGGACCTGCAGGTCTACGGGTGACAAATGTCATTACATTTTCGCAATGCTTGAGAAACGTTGTGGCAGGTTCACATAGTCACAGTATGATTATAGCGACTCACCTAGGGAGATAACAATTCATAAAGTTTACGGGGTTTCATAAAACCGAAGTAGGTTTTAGATTGATAAAGAAATTCACTTTCCATATCATTATAAACTCACGACGTTTCTACTAAGAAATGATGATTTCTTATACATTTTAGTCTTTGGTTATAAGGCTACATTTTTCGGATTTCAAGGAAAATATCGGATTTTTCTGACACAAACGCGACATTTACATGTGATAGACTTCTACTAAGTTTATTAATAAAAGCTTATGAACTCACCAACCTTTGTGTTGACACTTTTCAAACAACTCGTATTCTCAGGAAAACACTAAACAGGTAATCAAGTGCTTTTGAGGATGGGACGTTAAGACGTCAAACTTTTCATATTTTGTCAACATATTGTAATTGATTTTGAAACATGTAATTCATACAAGTGATGTAACTTTTTCAATTATATATATGTTGGTTGTGTTTGCTTAAATTACTATCGAAATTGTGGTTATGATACTATACATGAAGTCCTCCACCCCCGGACGTTTCCGCCATCCTTGGTTTGGGGGTGTGACAAGAGATCAGATAGGAGTAGAATTATGGGTGAGTAACCTCTTGTTTATTGCTTAAAACTGTGATTATTGTAAACAAATCACTATGTCCTGGACCCAGACCTGCCAGGATATAGCCGATAATTTCCTCATCCTTCATTGGATGACCTATATTTGCCATGGTGTCTGCAAAACCAGTCATCTTCTGGTAGTACTCAGATGCTGTGAGATCCCATTTCTTGCAGGTGGACGATTGAGTTCGAATTTGAATAGTATTTCCTTTGTGCTGAGCGGAGAACATAGTGTGTAAGGCGGTCCATAATTCTTGAGAGGTAGTGGTGAACCGTGTGAGCTGAGCGATAACATCCTCTGTTATTGATGACAGGAGCGCTCCAATAATAGCATGGTCTTGATTTACCCACGTATTGAACAGAGGGTTGGCAATTTTTCTTGTTGCGTTGCCTTCACTTGTGGTTACGGTGGCAACAGGGGCGGTTGTAGTTCCATCTAGGTATCCAAAGAGTTTGACACCTCTCAGAATCAGGACGACTTGAGCCTTCCATAGTAGGAAGTTAGTCCTTTTGAGTTTGCAAGATATTATGGTAGCAATCTTGGCAAAATTGATGTGAGCGGTCATGATGAGAGGAGTAATTTGAGAAGAAGAGAGGGAACGATTATGGGCGGAGAGAAGAGGGGTTTATCAGAAGCCCTAGGATTGGCTCTGATACCAAGTAGAGAAAATTTATTTGCTGTAATTAACCCTTTGGGTATTAGCCTGTATTTATAATAACAATTACAAGGGATAAGATAACACTAGGATCTAATAAACTAGATCCTATCATTTACAACAAACTCAATTCTATCTCTATTCTATCTTTTATTATTTTGAGCACGTTTACAATGTTCATAGAAACAAACCATTATCACTAATGAAGTACCAATTGTTATATGAACCAACCATTTTATACTCAACAAATAAAAAATAAACCAAAATTATATTAAATATCATATATTGAAGAGAAGGGATCTTAGAACTATATTGAGCATAGTTGTGAAAGCTTTTCAACCATTGATAAAGGATGTTAGACCTATTGTGGCATTTTTTTTTCTATATATAAATTTTAATCATAGTTTCCACCGGTTATAACCTAGTCTATTAATAAAATTAATTAGTATGAGGTGATATTTAATAGGTGGAATTTGAATAAAAAAGAAAAAGACTATAAAAATGACAAGTAGATATTAAATAATTTTAAAATTTTTAGAAAATGACAAGTGACAAAATGAAGGAGAAGATGATAAATGGCAAAAAAAAACTCTTTATTTATTAGGGATGATTTGTTTCAAACGGTTTATGATTGAATTTAAAATATAATTTTAGACCAATTTTAAGACTCTTTGGAATGATTTCAACCAAGTTTAATTTTTAAAGATTAAATGGGGGTTATGGAGCCGTTTAAGGACTCATGAGCGAATTCCACTCGTTTAGGACCGTTTTTAAGTCGGACACAACCATTTATAAACTGTTTTAGCTATCTTGAAGTGCACTTATGTTTTATTGGGAAACTACATGTAATGCAGATTTCAACACTTTTGTCATAATTTCTTATGACATTTTTTCTGTAAGTTTTTGTTGAGTTTCCATGTGGTTTTTGTATTTTCAAAATTTATGTTTGATGGTCTATGATATAAGTTCATAATAAAAAAAGGGATGGAACTTGTCTATGAGAGAAAACGACATTGAATTGACTATGCTAAATTAGCGTTTTTTATGTGGTCCTAAGATTACTTATCACATGTTACATGACACTCAAGAAGGTTCTTTGTTTGGGGCCCTTATAAAAGAGAGATCACCTTTTGTAGTGTTGAACATTAAAAAATGATGATAGTAAAGAAAAACACATATGCAATCTATATTGTTTGGCTAACACAAATGAAAGATTATTCTTTGCTACATGGTGAACATATCGTTGAATAAAGATTTTATAGAATTCATATATTGTTTATTATATTCTATTAGGATTGCTAATCATATACAACAATAATTGAAGAAACTAAATAGCTTCAACATGGAATGGAAGTTATGTGGTATAGTGATGGACTTTCTTGCATGTACAATTTTGTGGTTAAAAAAATGTTGAAGGATGTAGTCGAGCACATTACTCGGCTTATTAGGCTTCTTTGGACCGGACTTTGTCATATTTTCCCAAATGATCACCGTTAGGTCATTTGAGCCTAATGGGCTGTTTGACAAACTGTCATTTAGTGTTGAATGATAACATCCGCTGAATAATTTCAAAATCTTAATCATTAAGAGAACTAGGTTTAGAGGCTTTTGATTTGTTCAGATGTTGCATCAAACACGTTAAATGCACATAACCTTCGAATGGTTCAGAACTTATCAAACAACCCCTAAATTCATTCTTAGGCGAGACGATCCATTTTTTGTAGGTTTAAACTATGACAATCTTGCTAAAACGTGTATTCACTTTATCTCGACTTATGTTGTATGAAGAAGATTGTATACATTCGATTGATAATTGCTTGAAAGATTAAACGAATGATGGCAAGAAGTTTTATTAATTACATGGATATAGACACCTAACCATCATAGGATGATAACATGTATACAACTTAAAAGAATACATAAGTGGAGGTGGATCACAATTTACAATGAAAGATAGAACTAGAGACGAAGATACAAAAGAGAGGAGATCTGTACACAACAAATAAAAACCTTTCAGTAATCAAAGTAATCGATGTTTTAAGGTTAGTGTTTTTTCTTTGCATCTAAAAAAAGGTATATATTTTCATTTTCGGTCCATATTTTCAGGTTTTATTTCGGTTTTGGTCCAGACCAACTAAGCAATACCATTTTGCCGGTTAATCTTATTTGTTATTTTACCTCAATATTATAGTTTTGCAGAATAAATTACATAAATGGTCCCTGTTCTCTATGATTTTTAGTGTGTTTGTCCAAAAATTTTAAATCTTTTTCAATGTTGGTGCTTATTCAAGGTTCCATAACTATTTTGATCCTTGGTACCTTGAACTTTCAAAGGACTAAAATCTACATAAAATCTTAAAATAAGGACCAGAAAGTCTTGATGACCAAAATCAATATGAAACTTTGAAATAAGAACCAAAACTGAACTCAGTTACCACTTTACGCTAAACACATTTAAAATTAAAAAGCATAGGATTAGGATTTAGGAGACATTGTAATTTACTTTAGTTTAGCTAAAAAACCAAAAAGAAACAAGGAAATAAGGATCAACACTTAGTTAGACTCAAAGGACCAAAATTGAATAAAAATGGAAACTTATAAGGCACACTTTGCTCAACAAGTTTCTATCGCAATTTTGATCCCATGTTGTTTCATCTTTTACGGATGGAGCTAAAAACTAAGAGAAATTACATCTTTGGTCCGTGGTAGAACAAAATTTTGAATTTTGTCTAGCATTTTTGTTTCTTGTTTCAAATAAAATGACTATTTGTTGGACCAAATTTTCAAATACTCAAATGAAAAAATATATATAGTCATTTTACTACAATAACCAAAATCATGACATGAACCACCAAAAAAAAATTACATAGAATTTTATGAAACCAAATTTGCAAAACTCAATTAATACTCGGGGACCAAATATGTGATCCATCGAAAAATTAGATTTGTCGGATTCACAAACCCTAGTCTGAGTACCAGTCTGATACATACCAAACACAATATTAGTTTGATACATACCAAACACAGTACAAATCATTAACAGGTTAGCATTAAAAAAAATGGGAGCTTACAAGGCATTTTAGTGACTATTATGATCATGTTCGTGGGCCCGCGGCTGTGATCCCAAGTCCCCGGAAGACGATCTAGACACCGTACTCGAACCCAAATTTACCGTATTAGCCCTCGGTGATGAAAACAAGCTACTAAAAGGCCAAGGAAAAGATACAGAAAACCGCCTCTCTTCATTATTCCTATTTCCCGATTCACCCGTAACCCCGTTTGATGAATTTCCAATAATACCCCTGGACCCTTCTTGTTCTCGGTCAACCTTTGACTCATCAGCCGGCATCTGATACCTACAAACTGGACATGAACTATGAAGCTCTAACCATGGCAAGATACAATCCCCATGATACCTATGTTTACATGGCATTTCACGTGCTTCATTCCCGATTTCAAATTCCTCCAAACAAACCGAACATTGAATTGAATCTTCTTCGATTTTGACTTTTGGCATTGACTCGATTGCTTCTTTTTTGGCGGGTGGTGTTCCATATCGATTCGGGTCGTTTTCGGATAACTGTTGTAAGAGTTGTTCTAAACCAGGTCCGATGAAGTAATCACCAAAAGATCCAAATGGGTGGTTTTGCGAGAGGTTTCTGGAGTCAAACGGGTTGCCACCACCACTGCCGCCGTGGACAATGATAGATGGGGTGAAAGGATTGATCAGAATAACTTGTTCCTGGTTGCTGTCTCTGTCTCCTCCGGCGACCTCCTCGTTGTTCTCCGATTCAGATGCCATTCCCGCTTGAATACCTTGAAGAAGGTGGAAGATGGCGGCGGTGCTCCTCCTTCTCCTCTGTTCAGGATCCAACTCCGACTCTCCTCCTCCTTGGTGGCGGTTTTGTTCTTCATTCGCTTCGTCTAAACCAAGTTGTCTGAATCTCCGGTGACGGCGAGGGGTGTCCATCATAGTAAGCAAGATAGGAGCCCAAAAAGAGATGCCACGGTCGGAGTCGGAACCAGAACCACCGTCGTTTTGGTGGTGGTGGTGGTCGTCATCACGTCTTACGCTGCCCATTTCCTCCACGAAGCCGCCGTGACAAACTGAACATTTGACCGATTCGACCTCCATGACTGGATCGACGACTCTATCACATGCATGGCACCAATATCTTGTTGACTCTCTCTCTTCCTCCATCTCTCTCTCTTTCTCTTTCTCTTTCTATCACCAAAAAGTTTCTGCAATTTTTCGTTGAATCAGGAATTACCCATAACAAATCTTGAACTAATTTAAGAAAAAGCATACAACTTTCGAATCTTTCATAACTAAAACAGAAAACCCAAGATTTAAAATTTAATACCCACAAACAATATAACAAAAGATAATAATTTTTTATGAAAAAATATAAAACCCATCTAACCTTATTCTGCAAGATGATCGAGGCAATAAGGAAGGGCCCCAAAAAACTAAGACCACAAATTAATTTTCAATCTTTTATATTTTTTGAAAGGTGATTAACTGATCTTTCATACCATGACTCATATATGCATCATAGGAAGAATCTAGAAGAATATAGGGAAATTAAATACGAAAGCCTATGTTGACCACCACCTGAAATGAATGTCATGCTTCTGGAATTCTATTTGGATCTAGTAAGTTCTTTAAATAGCCACATTTCTTTTACCGATTCAGATGAAGAAAGAAAAGAAAAGGAAAAAGATTAAAAAGTAATTACCAGAAACAGCAAGGAAAGAGGGAGCTGGATTTGGGCAGATTTTCTCCTCAAACCTTGAAATTTGAAGGTTTTTGGAGAAAAGGCGAGAAAGGAGATGAGGAAATTTGAAAGGTTGGTTGTTTATATAAAATTCCCTCTGTAAAATTTTAGGGGTTTAGATTGAAGTGAATTGGGAATTTTGTAGCTGATCCATTGACGACTCGAATAAGCTTCATGGAATTTGTCTCTAAATTTACGGAATAAAGCTTTCTAAAAATAGAAGGGAAATAAATATTATTGTTTGGATAGTGACTATATTTTAAAATGACAAAATTATAAAATTGATCGTTGTGGTTTGTGAAAAATTAAAGATATCATCTAAAAAGTTTTCAACTTGTTGAGAGGTCCAAAATCATGAATTTTCCATGTTTCCCTAACCCTTAGAATCACCCTCCTCTTCCTTGATATTTACTTTGCCGTCAACATGCTCGACAGCCCTAGCGGCGGTAACGTCTCTCCTGGAGAAGATCCGCAATAAAGATCCATGGAAGATTTGTAAATTTGGTTCGTGAAATTGTGAAATTAAACATCTACATTCTCCACCAACCAAATCCATAAACAAATTCATGGAATTTTCCAGGAGAATATCCGCAGTAGATCAAGGCAAAGTAGAGGTGTTAAGTGTGTCAAATGTTTGATATATGCTTTGAAACAATAGAGTTGTATTTGTAACACTAAAAAATCAAAATAATTTAAAATTTTCAAAAAAATCAACTATTCATGATCATTGTTCACAAAAATAGCCATTGTTTCAAACGATATTATTTCAAATAAGAGTTTCCCTAAGATCCAGTGACAAAACAGGAAGTTGTGTACCATCACGCTTTCGCCTTTCCACGATCCTCTGAAGTACTTGAAACCATAAACTAAAAATTGTAAGCCAAAGCTTAGTGAGTTCGCCAAAAGTACCACCACACAAACATATAATCAAACAGATAACGTATCCACAAACTCCTGGTTAGATTACCCCTAGCCCACTACCTTTCGGCTGGAATGTCGAATACATAACGGGTCCACAACCTCCTGGTTGGATTACCCCCGGACCACAACCTTCCGATTGGAAGGCCCTGGCGCACAACCTTTCATTTGGAATGCCCCAGTATGTTGACTTATAGCTAGGGGTGGCAAATCGGGTCATCGTGTCGTGTTTCTGACTGACACGACACGACATGATAACGTTTTTTGTAACACGAACACGACACGACACGATGTAGTGTTTTTTTAACTAACACGAAAACGAACCAATTAAAAAACGACAAACACGACACGACACGAAAAAGATAACATAATATAACAATTAGTTTATTTAATTGTTATTTAATCATACATAACATGAAAAACACGAAAAACATGAAAAACACGACAAATAAATGCTAAATCGTGTTAATTTCGTGTCGAATTTTGAACACGAACACGACACGACACGACATCGTGTTTTTTACGCTTGACACGAACATGAATTCAAATTTCAATTTCGTCCCAATTTTGTTCCGTGTCGTGTATTTTTGTCGTGTCGTGTCAACAATTGTCATCCCTACTTACAGCACAAAGTAGTATAGTCTCAACCTCACCATACCTTGTCGACATGTACATAACAAATAACATATATCTTATAACAAATAATCGTATAGCCAGTTAACAGACTAGCAGACAGATCTACAGATCCCTACCACATAGTAACATCTTATGTACCAGGATACAGATCTAGTGGGTCGACATTGGTGCCATTGACCCGCAAATATAGTGAGGGAAAGTCACCTCACAGTCTGACGAATAACTGGACAATACACTTCTCTGAATACCAGCTCTATAGGTTATCTATTCAACAGACAGAGACCAAGGCTTAACTATAGCTCAATATACCCAAAATACCCTTAAGTTAAACTTGGTCAACCCTTTGTCAAAGTCAAAGTCAACCGGTCAAGGAGTCAACTTGGTCCACTCAGCTGAGTACGGGGGGCGTACTCAGCTCCTACACTAGGTGTACTCCTACTTTGACCGGAGTCGAAGGGTTGACCACGTACACGCGGCGTACACTAGGGTACACACGTCCTACGCTTAGAATCTCCTTTCCTTAATAAGAGCTTAATGCATTAAGCTCCCACGTCCAAATTTCAGATCCATGACCAAAATACCACTAAGATTCATAAAGCTTCCAACTTTAGGAAATTGCATGCCCTTAAGTGCTTGATACAAAGAATCCCAACTTCTTAACACCTTAAGACCTTCTACAGCATGCATGGGGAAAAACTAAGAATCAAGACCATATTTATTATGACTCAATGCCCCTCATTAGGTCTGAAAGGACGATTTATTCGACTAGGAGCATTCCATGCTCACGAATCATCATAGTTGGGACCAAAATTGCCCTAAATGAATAAATGGTTAGATTTACAAGATAAGATGATCAAGTTATGAGCTTTTTACCAGGTTGTTAGCAAGGAAAGAATCTCGTATCTAAGTTGCTTCCAATCTTCACGGTCCTTGTACCAACTTTTTCTTATTCAAGAACACCACCAAAGCACACAAATGAGCTCAAAATGCACTCTTCTCACTAAGGGTTCGCTAGAGGGATGTTTTCTTAGATGGAGGCTGATGAGGGAATAAGAAATGAGGTGATAATTGTAACATACGGATTCCCAGGTACCATATATTAATTATTTATTTTAAGTTATGAAGAGTGACTCGACGAGTTGACGCCTAGACTCGTCGAGTAGGATCGCGATTGCTTACTGGATTAATGAATGGACTCGACGAGTCGATGGGTGGACTCGACGAATCCGCGCTATGGACAGAAACCCTAAATCCTCGGGCATGTGCCCTATTTAAGGGATCTTATGGCCCTCATTTGCGGCCACCTTCACCCTTGAGAGCACAAGAGAACCTGAGAGCATTGTGAGTGAGAAAAGAAGCCATTTTCTTCATTTCTAGTGTGATTTTGCAAAGAAAGAAGGAAGGAGGGCAAGCTAGGCAGATTGAGGAGCTCAGATCTACTACCATTCGATCAGAAGAGGCTGCTAGAGGTATAAATCTATGCTCATTCTCATGTATATGGTGATCTACTTGAATCTTGGGTTTTCTTATGCCTTCTTTAGCTTGGATTTGAAGCATATGAGGTCCCAAGGTGGAATTATTCTTAGATCTGGACCGAAAGAGGTCCATAGAGTCCTATCTATCCTGCTTTATGATGTTCCTTTGGAGATATGAACCTAGGTTTCCATTCTAGAAGCTATTTCACCAAAAGAAGCCCTATGAGTGTTGCATCAGTGTAAAGGTTGGACCTTTACGTGATTATTGTGTATTAGAAGGTCAGATCTATAGGTTAGAGAAGCAGATCTGAACTTAGAAGGTCTTTTGAGTGTTTTCATGGAGGGAACTCGCCGAGTCCATAAGGGGACTCGACGAGTCGAGTCAGGTTGCCCCGCGATTCGTGACCAGTGGTAACCCGTCGAGTGAAAGGTTAACTCGACGAGTCGAGTGAGAATTTATGAAGATTAAGAGGACCCGCATGGACTCGCCAAGTTACACGGGTGCACTCGATGAGTTTGGTCAAAGTTTAACCGTTGACTAGGGTTGACTTCAGATTGACCTTAGGGTTTTGGTCAAGCTGGTTCAAGAGAGGTCAGGGAGGGGTAGAAGGGTCTTCTACCCATTCTTTAGAAATAAGTACAAGAGAAAGTATTAATTAGAGATGTTATTATGATTGATAGGAGGAGGCTAGGTCGGATTATCGAGCACGAGAGGTTATCTGACATCGTAGGAGGTAAGTCTTCTCACTATACTTTACCTAGAGTGGTAATTATGTGTGACCGGAAGGTCTTACGTGCTATGATGAGTATGTGATGCATGTTGTTATATGATATGTATGTGCTATGTTATGTTATGAGTATTATGATATGGACCGGAAGGTCAAGATGATACGGACCGGAAGGTCAAAGAAGTAGGACCGTAAGGTCTACCAGGACTACGGGACGGAAGTCCCCTGGGACACATGGACCGGAAGGTCTTGTAGAGCTATAGCCTTGAGTGGCGTATGTGTGTATGTGGTATTTTAGGGAATTCACTAAGCATTTATGCTTACCCTTTATGTGATATGTGTTTCAGGTACGAACGAGGATTACGGGAAGGCGTTGGCATGATTTGTACACACTGATGGAGAATTATGTATTTTGAGATTCTGGGAATTGTTTATTTGAGATGATATTTGACACTTTAGTTTTTGGAGTGAATTATGTGAGTTATGTTTGTTTTAAAAATGAAAAATTGTTTTAAATTTTCACGATGTTACAATAATTATGCATAAGTATGGATCAAACCCTAAAAATTAGGGTTTGAGGTTACTTTACGTACGTCATGT